CCCCAAAACCCCAAAACCCCAAAACCCCAAAACCCCAAAACCCCTTAGTAATTCTAGGCAATTGAACTATCAAGATTTCCTTAGATTCCTAAGTAATTAATCTGAATATTTTAAGAAAAAAAGGGAAATTTCAAGAAAAATTGAGATTTAATTTTTGAGGAAATTTTTATCTTTAATTTAGGAAATTTCTATCCTCATTAGACAGCTGGTATTAGTCTAAAAATCCTAGCAAGGTTTGTCTATAAGCCTCCTTGTGATTTATGGTAGAGGCATCCAGAGTCTTAAGTAGCTTCTTCATTATTCTGGATAAGCATGAATTTCCTCTCACTAACTTCTTCAGTCCGACTTTTGATGATCCATTTCTTTCTTTCAGTTGTCTCACCAAGATTGTCTGTTCAGCAGTGGTTAGAAATCCTGCCTTTGTAATCATGGATAAAATTGACCTCACTTTGGAGGCTGGAAAATATAGCACAATGAACTCACAGAAAACTTTGACTTTATTTTCAGGTTGCTCTCCTTCAAATATTGTTGGAACACAGCCAACAGTAAAAGCCTCAGAGTAAGATTCTAAGAAGTCAGACTCTTTTGAAGATTTATATCTTCATTTAGAGCCAAGATGCTTGAGAATGATGTTGGGAACTCTTAATGCATCTCTACAGACAGATGAATTTTGAGCATCAGTTCTTTGATTCAACCTTTTGTTAGCTTGAGAAGAGATTTTCTTCAATATTAAGTTCCAGATTATATATGGATTAGTGTTCTTTAACACTCTTGGTCTTCCTCTATTTCTATTATCTGAGATTTGATAAGCATAGAGTCTCTGAAAGTAAAAGATTCTCAGCATTTTCAAGAGATATAGCATGCCCTTTCACTCCTCATTATAAGTTGCGGTAGATATTGTGAGACATTTTTCCTCTTTACAAGCTAATTCTCCTCATACAGAAGAGCTATTTTCCTTTATAGGAAACTTTTCATCCTTCAGAGCAGGAAAAGAATGTTGCTCTCTTTCCTCAGAATTCCTCTCCACTTTAGGTCAATCTCCTTCTAAGCCACCTATCTCTTCTTTCACTATCCTGTCAGACTCTTCTTTCACAAGGAGATTTACTTCAGTCCCTCAAACAAATTCCTCTTCTCTATCATCTTCTTCCTTCTGCTCTTCCAGATGATAATCCCCATGGTAGCTTAAGTCAACTTCTTCTTTGATTTCGATATTCTCCAGCTCGTCAAAGAACCTCTCGATTTTGACATACTTATCAGTAAATTCAGGCAGGCAATCTTCGTCTAAATTCATTAAAATCTAATTAAAAATTCTGCAAATTTCCCTTTTTCAACTTTACTTAGAGGAACGGGGTTTTGGGGTTTTGGGGTTTTGGGGTTTTGGGGTTTTATATACCTGGATGGGGGAAATTT